GGAGACGAGGCATGAAGAAATGCACAGAGCGATTAGGTAGAGTAGGTGTCTCTCACCTTCCAGGTTGGGGTCCGAAAGACTCCACAACTGGTTGATTGGAGACATTGAAGGATATGGCAGCGAACCGGCAGCAGTGGCGTTCTTGTTGTCGGTTCTCATCAGGTCAGAATGCTTGAAACGGTATGTATGCAGAGTTCGATTGCGTACTCTGTGTGTTGACCATAGTGGCTTATCTTCTTCTCCCTACCTCAAAATAGATCCAATCCCTGTCCACCTTAACTTTGATCACTAGCCTTGTATGCATTGCGAGCGTGGCAGCGATCAGTGAAGTTCGCTTCACTGTATTTCGCTGAACGATGATGCTGATGATGATAAAAAGGCGGCGGCTTCCGAAAGGCTGAGTATATAAAACCGATGAGCACATCATCNCACATCAATATGGGGGGGGGGGAGGGGGATCATATTCACAATCAATTTTTCCGGGGTTGGCAACTGGAACTGAACCATCTCATGTTCATATTTGTGTGTGTGTGTGTGTGTGTGTACATTCAGACCACTCCGTGAGGTAAACACAATCCATGACAGTTAATAAACCAGAGACCAAATATCAGGACAGTAGTGGCCTGAAATCACCACTGGATTCGTTAGTTTTTTCTTTTCTACGAAAATTTTATCGTATGATACGATGTGCGCCTACCAATCAAGTACTACACGATTCTTTGAAATCTGATATGTTGTACTTTTGTTGTTGTTATAGACGGGCCAAGGTTAGCATAGTTACGTGATAGTTCCCCTTCGAAAAACAAACAACCAAACAGTTCGATTGCAAGATTCACAGTCGTGGCCGAAGTGCGATTATCCATCAGAGATGTTCACATAACTCTACCGTAGCAATCTAATTGTTCCAATAAATGTGCAATACAAGTCGGCACGAATAGTGATATCGCTCCTCGCATGTTTGCAGCCGGGGAGGCTGAATGATCAACGGAGCTAGGAAGAACGACTTGAAGTTCCAAATGTGAAAAGATCAGTGCGAATAATAGAGACGGACTGATGAAGGGGAAAACATTTCCCACTCCCCCGTTCCCCGCTCCTCCTCCTCCTCCTACTCGTTGGTTTGAAAGCAATTAAAACGAAAAACAAATTCCTTGACCATTTTAGAAGGGGGAGGAGAGGAGGATAAGTGAACGAAAGGATGTTGGGTAAAATGTAGTGAACGAAAGAAACATCGACCCGAGTTTGCACCAAGGGACCAGGTTTAGTGGGAATGCACTCGGACAATCGGAATGCTGTGTTGCCCGGTTCGGACGGGTAATTCACACTTGGTTTCTGGTTTCGTTTATGGCTGGATGCATTGTTTCTCTCGCTTTTCGCGCGCGGGCGCGCGCATGCAGTCGCGGTTTGTGATTAAATTTGTTGCTATTATTGCTTGTTCCAGGGTAGCAATAAGGTTATATTCCCGGTAAGTATATGAATGTGATTATATTCGAGCAAAAAGACGCATCAACGAAATCTGTAAGATGTGTTTTCTTAGATTTTTTATCGGTGTTTGGCTCTGTTTCACGTCCCCTCTTCCTTCGTAAAATGGAATCATATGACTGTCCCAAGCACGTACTGGCGTGGTTCGCTGACTACCTCACAAACAGAACTCAGCATACTCGGCTCAGTAGGAAAACATCTAAACCGCTTGTGGATAGTTCGGGAGTGCTACACGGAGCTGTAGTATCTCCGTTCTTGTTTTCCACCTAACTTTCAGCGAGTTCTCCAGCCCAATTATTTAAATACACTGACGTCGTAGCTCTTTGCCACACCATTTCTGGTCCTCCATTTCGTTTATTCTGGCTGGTTAATAAAAAGTATTACACTTTAGAATACAGCTCAACCATCCATGGTCCACAGTTGTGGCGATTGTAATGTTCGAGTTGTGTAAATCGTTCTCCCCTTGGCCCTCGGCCCCTAATCGCCCCATTTTCCACAATTCTGTAGTTGATAGCTTTCCCCTGACCGTGGTTGTCTTCCTCTTACGATCGTTTCAAAATTCTTCGTCGAGGTTTGTCGATCATCAGTCATGTCGTTTATACCTGTTGGTCAGCTATCTAAAAACTGCGTGAACTTCACCTGTCCGCGTGTGAAACACTTGCTCAGAAAATCCTCTCTGACCCCACTCATCCTTTACATGGTGATCTATCCAAATGCTGCTCTCATTCATCTACACCTTCTACATATCGATAATTACCCTCACGCATCAATCTCTACAGAAATTCCCCAGTTCCCTATCTCGCCAGAACCTTTTGATGGTATGTGCAATTTTTGACTGAACTGCGGACATCTGTTCATGCTAAAGTCTAAACAAACACAAATAATCATTTGTTGGATAGATTAAAACACAACCAATTTGATCAAGCAGTTGTCAACGGTCAATCCAAGATTGCCAGGCCATATAGAGAGAACGGACAATACAACAGGATTAGAACATACGAGTTCCTTCTTGACCTTTCTGGTATGACGCAACGCGCGCATTCCATAGTTCGAATTCTGCGTCACTCACCGCCGCTCTTTGCGTTCTGTAAGCATTATATTTACCCTTCTTCCTTTATTTATCTGTCTAATTTACGGTTACGTTGCTGTCAGCCTTAGCTACCTCATTCTGCCCATTACTGCTGTGTTGCTACCATTCATCGTACGTTGCATTATATTTTGTTATAATGTTTCCGTTTAGTACTAGTTATAAACCACTGAGTCTCAGTATCTGGTGCTCCTTGGTGAAGGATAATCCCAGTTCAGGGATCAATTCTGTCCATTGCGATTGTACTGCCTTATATTGTGTGGTCCAATATATTGCCTGATTTTAAACTCTATGAATTCTACTATAGACATGCACACATTACAATTTATTATCGGGTACAATTTAAAGTCATTTGTGCCCAAACCAAACCCCTAAACGATACACCAATTTCAAAGCTCTCCTCGTTGACCGCTGTTTGAAAAACCGACTCACAAACGTCTTGTAGGACGAAAGAAGATGTATCTTCCGTAAGAACTACATTGATAGAATACTAGTAACTTCTCGGTTGCAGGTAACCAAGGCAACGCGTCGATGGGGACATTGGATGTGGAGCCATTCTGATCAGAAATGGTCGGGAAGTTCCCTTTGCAAAAAACATGAATTTCTTTGTTATAAATAATGGAACAAAGAAGAGGACACACTGATTCATTTTTAGGGACGCTTACTTTGTGGTTGGTACCATCGATTTTGTCTGTCCGTCCGAAACGGATTCAGGTGCCAGACCCGAAAGACCGTTCAACACCGTGGTAGACGGAGGCCGGTTGGAGACGAGTGACACTAGAATGGCCGATCCTAAACCGCTGGCGAGGTGAAGCAATTGCACCAACGCTTGTTCCGTTTGCTCCTGACAAATACGTGTGTGTGTATTAAAAGTATTCCATTAAACAAAAAAGAAAGGATACCACTTTGGACAACATTTTTACAGCATTCATTTCTAACTAAATAAAAACATTCATTTCTCTGCAACGATTTCTACTGTTTCAATATCAGTTAGATACTACTCGTTATTGGTAGTTAGTAGTATGTAACCAACAGTACATAGGAATCAACATAATGACAATAAAATAATCAACGAGAAAAAGGTACTTTGATTATGATTGGCTTTAGAAGGAGATGTGATCAGATAAATATTCAAACAAAGGCTAGGAAAGACGATTACTTGCACCTATTCAGTGGTTGCTGTACGAGCAACAGTCTCTACAGGCCAATACTACTCACGAGAAACTGTAGGTCCTCATCCATTCATTCACTTGTATCTGTGCGGCAATTTGTGCAGGTTGAACNGAACGACGAACCGATTGTGACAGAATCGAAATTCACAAACCGAACAGGCTGAGCAATGTTATATAATTTGCCTCATCATTTTAACTGTTCGCCCAGCTTGGCAATTGGTTTGCAGACGTTTCATCACCAGCCGAGGTGACAAGGAAAGTGCTTGTGAAGCTCGCCGATGGAACACTTTCGCCTACCGAGAAGTCTCCATTCATGAGCAGCTATGTTTTACTTCACGAATGCCTATAACGCAACTTGTTTCCACGGAGTGTATATCATGGACCGCCGATGGATCACTTGAAGGCCCGGAAGACGCATGACGCGCATAATAATCTCGGATGCTCATAGACGTCTTATCAAGTACAAGAAGGTTATACAAGAAGAACAAGAGAACTGTAGAACTATATTACGCGAACGACAGATGGAACACCTGGAAGACGCAATAAGTCGACGCGTCAAAAATGTCAAAAGAAAAAGAAAACTGGCACTTTCAACAAAATTCCACAAATTGAATAATCATGTGCGAATCGATGAAAATGAAAAGCTGTGTCCGCTATGTCTTCACAAGGATGATCAAATAGGATGAAAAACGAGTGCTCATTAAGGGACTTTACTTTAACGTCAGAAATGCCACAAACAAGGGATACTTGGCGGAACTGGAACACACTCTCAAATCGTTCACGATGCCTGAGGATTCGAAACAAACCAACCGACAATCGTCCCAGCCCGGATACGAAAAGGAAAACCCAACATGCTATCAAACCTCGAGGACTAAACACTCAAAACACTGAAAATGGACAAAGATACCGTCATCCCAGCAGATAAGGAACGAATTACTGTGGTTTTGGAGAAAACTGACTACATTATAAAAGGTTTAAAGAACTACTTTAAGACACAAACACCTATTGCAGAATCGACACGGACTCCGCCGCAAAACTAGAAAAAAAAACATCACATGGGGACCACTGGAAAAATTACATCAAATAACCAAATAGGAGCATTGGAGAATGAGAGCGAACAATTCCGTTATCACACAATTCTACGGACTGCCGGAGGTACACAAGAAAGGAATTCCCCTGAGGCCGATCGTTTCCCTTCCATACAAGTTCGCAAAAGAATCACGGAAACTACTGAAGCCGCTCATCGCAGGACACAAGATCATCTCACAAACACTGACGATGTCACCTCGGTTGGTGATGGATGACTCGCTTGCAAACCAATTGCCAAGCTCGGTGAACAGGCGAAATGGAATTCATTTCAGCCGAGCTACGAGAACCGATTTTCAACACTGTGTCCACATTTGGTGCTATAATTTTATGAACTTCATCCCGATAAAAAATCAAACTTTGAGAAATCAAGTTCCTAACCGGAGTGTTGCAGTAGGTCAAACAACAGAGATTCGGACACACGCGGTCGTGATTCGAATGAATCGCTACCATTGCACTCCATATCGCAAACATCATTGCACATCTGCGACTGTGCTATTTACCTTTGGAAATTCTGGCGTTCGGGGAAGCTAACAAATATCGACTTTCGCATCTGCTTTTCGATTGGCTTCATGCTGATCTGTCTGTTCTCCAAGCTCAGAAATTTCTTTGCAAACATTGCGTCCGCGGTGAATGTGACATTTGCGGTGTAGTTGTCGTTGCATGTTTGCTCCATATTCGACACAAGGAGAAATTTACCCACACTCGCTTTCTTTTTACGATTGAGACCAAAATCGTTGACCTTAACTAATTTGCTTTTATTTCTCTAATTTTTTAAAAACATTTCTTTCATTTTATACCATCACCAGCACACACACCCTCCACTGCACGACAAAAATTGCATGCAGATCGTGGTTGTCAGCTATAGGAATTAGTAAAATGACACGACCAAGATAGACGAGGACTGAATTTGTTTATTTTTCCTGATATGATGGAGGGGTTGGGTGATGATTGGGACTGGAAAGAAGTGAAGATGGGAGATTTGTAATGCATTTGGATTGATCCCGGAAATCTGAGAGCCAACGTTTTTCAAGAGTGAATTTCAACGGCTCTGTAGTTCAGGAACGTCATACCAATATAATTGACTATTTCTTTGTGTTATACTCCTCACTATCATGTACGCAAAATAAGTCACTTATGCAGTAAACATCAGTAAACGTTGCGGCGACGTCGTCCGGGACATGAACTGTGTAGGGAGGGACAGCAGGAAGCACTGGACAGCAGCTGTTTCAACCTGGTTGAGTCTCATCAGCAGTGCGATTCCGTCACTCCAACTGGGGATCGAACCCGGGACCTCACAGACAGAACGCAAGCATTCCACCTACTCGGCCACCAAATGCTGCTTGAGATTTTGCATCATACTATACTATGGATTCATCCGCGGAGCCGCCTTATCTTCATGTTAGAGCCAGTGGTTCCGAAATCGAAGAGCCAACAAAAACTTCTGACACTACCTTTCTGTGATAGTTCAATCAGAGGAGTTCATCCGGAATCCAATGTTTTGCGTTCTCGTACTTTTTCGTCTGAGATCATCACGACCCTTGGTGTTCTTCAGAGTTGCCACCTTTTTTCGCATACTAGCTGTAAATAGGATTTTTTTTAAACCATCTATCTTTACAACAGGCAATCGGTGTCTGTTAATTCCCAAGTAGCGATTCGTCCGATACGAAGACCAAATCGATGATCAATCCAAATCGAGTCATGGCACGCCAACCCAGCACAAATCAACAGACGAATATCACGTTCTTCGCCGATCAGTCAACCGTGAATCACCGCTTTCGTTACGAGATCATATTCATCGGTGACCTTTGACCGCAAATCAAGCCAGGGACACTATAGTCACACCAATCGTATACAAGGTGCCGTGATCACCACAAGCTGACTGAATTCGGCCACAGTTGAAGTTCTCGGGGTTAGATGGGGGAGGGGCTTATTTTCATCAAGTTCCAGTGACTCATTCCAGTCAGACAATGCTTGATCTCACGGGGAACAGAGAATTTAGGTGACATGAAAACGTGCCAACCGTTTATCATCTTCCCTGAGTCGATGAGCGGATGAAAAATAAACGGACCAAATTGGTCTGACCTTGTGTGATCTTGTGTGAACAGCTACGGTTTGCTTTGGGTGCGATCGATCGATAGCTCGTAAATGAGTAAATTTAACCCAGTATCATTTGTGTCCTGAATCAGCTAACCGGATCAAAACCTGAATGGAATTCTGGAGCGCGACAACGGTATGACAACGATTTTCTTCTTGTTGGAGTCCGTTATTAGCTAGTAGTTTATCACTGCCGTTCTAATTCATTTGTACTTTTCAGTCTTCGCCCATCGTGTTCAGCTCGCGTGGCGGTGTTTCCTCAACAAAGTGAGAGAATGACCGGGTTGGTGAATCACTGGCTAAAAGACCTGATTCCAAACCAATCAAGAAAAGGCCTATGGACCATATTCACACACCCTCCTGGTTGTGGTCCCCAGCTCTACTGGGCATCGAAGTGCACTGAACATCTTGGACGTTTGATCACATCCAAAGGGCGTACGTTCAGAGACGAACTGGACTCCAACCCCCAATGGACTGCGGCTTTCAATCATCGCCCCACAACCGTATTGGTCAGGTTTTTCCTAGCCAAAGGCTCTGGTTGTGAATTTTTCAATAACATTCACCTGCTTTGGTCTGGGCACTCTATCGGTGTTGCGCCCTCAAACACACCATGGAACTTTTTATTTTCATGAGAACTACTGTACTGTATGAAGTTTGAGGTCCCGACCCGAAAGTTCGCTGTTCGAGTCTTGACAGGGACACAAAAGGTACCCACTGCTAACAAGTCCCAAGCAGAATGAAACAGCTGTCCTATTCTCTTTGTCCACTATGACAGACATCTCCATCACATTTCAAAACCAAATATCATTTGCGTGTCCCGAGTGATTTACCCGGATCGAAACCAGAATGTAATTATGAAGCGCGACAAGGGTTTGACAATAATTTTCTTCTTGTTAGAATCCTTTAATAACTAGGATTTTTAAAATATTAGTTCCCGAGCTTGAACAACCAACCTAAGGGTTTGAAGCCGAAACATTCGCTCTTGAACTACAAGGCTATCGGCAAACACGTTGAGCAAATAATTTCAAGATACTGGGTGTCTGTGAGTTTAGAATAGTTTAATCTATTTGTGCCGGGCAAGAAAAACATTTAACCCACAAACAACGATCAAAAAGTGATCAATTAACTGTAGAAGACATTGCGATCGCTCCGAAAGGTTCTTGGGCGACCCGTATGAAACGCCATCCAATAGAACGGATAATCGAAATAGCCTACATCAACTTTTCGCGCACTAAGGATTGCTCCTATCATGCACAAATCTCTCGCACAAGAAGAACACGATTTTACATGGAAACCCCCATCCTCTTCACAGCAGTGGACCCAAATCGACCACGTCATCGTCAGCTACGGCGGACAGGGATCCATGCAAGACTGTCTCTGTGACTGGTCAACAACACCCACGGACACGGAACATGCTTTTTAAGAGCCAACTTCTCTGGTCACCTTGTAAACAGCCGCAACAAAGTAGTCGAAACGGACATCCTGTACTATTCGGAATTAGAATCCAAATCGAATGGCGCGCGAACTCGGATTCGGACTGCAAAACCCACTGAATAGCGCAAAGTCAGGTAGAACCAAGACGAACTGTGAAAACAGTTAATTCTATTCGGAAAATCATACAGATAAGTATCACAAGCGTCAAACAACCATTGGTCGACTCCTGGATGACCAATCGACAATGACATGGATCATTTGGTTGCCTACTTTCATTCAACCAATCCGACTGATACTACTTGAGACCACAGGATTGGTCGGTAAATCCATTTCTGGATTGGCTACCCGATAGCTGTATTGTGGTGCGTATATACTGTTTGCACGATCAACACACTTACGGGGTACAATGCAAGCGACAGTTGCAAATCAGCCTTCAACGCTGAGTTCTCTTACTGTCTTTCAGCTGAACCACCAGCCGAAGGACTGACTCAGTGACAACTGGACGTTCATCAAAGAAGCTATTCAAATGTCGATCAAAACAGAGACAGATCCTAGAGCACGATCAAAACACGAACAATGGAACTCATTGAACTTGGATACCTTGATGGAACCATTCCTCCGGATGCCAAATTTAACACAGCACGCAGTTCCATT